ATAAGTATTTTAATAGAGTAGTAGTTTATATATTAATAGGTTTATTTAGTGGATTTATTTAGTAGATTTATTTAATAGATTTATTTAGTTTAAATAAAGAGCAGCTTTAGGTAATATTAAAAGCGATAAAAATAAAAAAAATCTTTATAAACTTTAAAAAGTAGTAAATATTAGCTTATTTAGCCCTTTTTTTAAAAACCTCTACGTTGCTATTAAAGTTTAGAACTTTTATAATTAAGGGCCGCCTTTAATTATTACGGCCGATTATTATAGCTAACTATTATAGCTAACTATTATAGCTAACTTTTATTATTAACTTTTTTAACTAGCGCTACTATAAGGTAGCTTACTTATTTTAAATTAAATAGCGGTTTTTATATTAAAATTATTATATTACGTTAAGCGTATACTTAAAATATATTGCGTATATTATATAGTTAAAAAGTATACTATATTATATAATTTTTTTTAAAAGCGTAATCCCGTTAAGGTTAATCTTTTATACTTATAAAGCCGGAAAAAAAAACTACTATATAAAAACCTTAATAAAAATTAAGCATACTAAGCTTATAAAGTATATTATTAATCTTTTTCTAAGTATATACGTAAAGATTAAAAAGTAGTTTAAATATAACTAAGTAGAGTAGTAGTTTATAATAATAGCTTTTTTAAAAATAGAAAAAGCCGGAGTAATTAAGAGGCTAAATAAATATAATAAATAGATCGTAAATACTCTTTTTAAAAAAAGAGTAACTAAACTAAGAGTATTACGAATTATATATAACTTTTACTTTATTAATAAAGTATTAATAAAAGTAATATACTTATATTATAATATAAAAATAAATATTAACTTAATTTTTTATAAACGCCTAAGAGTCTACTCGTAAATTAACGCTTCTAATAGCTTTTAGAGTATTTTTATTTAAAAAAGTAATTAATATAAAACCTTAATTATCGGCCTTAATAGTATATAAGAATATAAAAATATATTATAAGGACTTAAAGGAGTATTTTTAATATACGCACATTTTAAAAACTTAGTTTTTAGATATTATAATATTAATAAATATTATTTTTTTTTAATTATAAAATTCCTCCCCTACTTTTTAATATCGATATTTATTTTTATTAACGATTATAACTTTACGAGCGAGATATTTAAAAAGTATTTTTATTTTTTATATTATTATTACTTTCCGAGAGTAGTATAAGTACCGATTCTCTTTAATAAAAATAAAATATTTCTTTTTAATAATTACGTAACATTAGTAGGATTTAAAATATATATTAATAAAATATACCCTTTAGGACGGTATTATAATAAGTTTATTATATAAAAATAATAGTTTAAAAAGTAGCCTCTAAGAGTATAAAAAGAAATAAGAGGTTTATTATATTTAATACTATTTATATAGAAATATATTTTTAAAAAAGCCAACTTAGAAACTACGATTAAAAAGGTATTTTTTAAAGAAGTATTAAAGATTACTAAGTTTAATAAAAAGAGCGTATAATAAAAATAAATAAAATACGAGACCTTAGCTTAGGGAGAAAAGTAAGTTAAAGTACTTAATAAAATATATAATATAGTTTAAAATAACGCGACTTATAATATAAGCTTATAAATATAATTTTATATTATAATAAACGTAAGTAATTATATTACTAACGCTATACTTATATAGTTACTTAATAATTATAAACTAAGTATTTTAATTACTAATACTAATTTTAATAAAGCTATAATTATTATATAAATATTATTTTGTTTATTTAACTAAAGAAAATAATATTTAGTCCTAAAAAAGAAACTTTAATAATTATATAAGCTTTAACCGAATATTAATAATTTATAAGCATAAGTCTAGACCTTATTATAATATATATTAACTATTAATTAATTAAATAAAGTATAAAGAACTATAGTAAAGTTTATAATAAGTTAGTAAAATAGATCGAAGTTTTAATAAAATATAATATAAAATACCTATATCGACCTAATACTATAAAAATTATTTAAGTAGTAAATAGTTTAAGTTATATATATAATAAGCTATAAGACTTATTAATAAATATTAAAGAGTAACTTATTTTTAAAGTAAAAATAAAGAACTAAATAATTATAAAAAATACTAAGTACGAGTACCCTAAGCTAAAGTACTTTTAAAACTTTATAAAAATATAGGATATAATAAAATCTATTTTAGCGAACTTAAGTAATACTAAGTAAGCTTTAAGTAAGGAATAAAAAAGGGAGATCCGTTATATATTTTATAATAAATATAAACTCTAAAAATAGTATATAAACGTTATTAAATTCTTTTTTATAAGATTATTAACTATTAATTATTTTTTAAAAAATAAAAAACGATTAGTAAGAGCGAAAGTAATATAATATAAAATATAAGAATATAAGCTATATAAAAATAAAATAGATAATAGTCTAGCTTAGTACGTAAATAAAAACTAAGTAGTATAATAACTTTATAATATATATAATAAAAGAGGTTACTTTAGTATACTAATTATAATATACTATTTATAAGGGCGTATATTCTAACCTAAAAAAATATAAAACGTAGACTTATATATTAAGTTATATTAAGTATATTAAGCATATAGCCTAAGACTTTAAATATTATTACTAAAAAAGATCTTAATATTAAAGCTTTAAAAAATAGTAATTATTAACTTTATAAAAGAGATTATTTTAATAATAATAAATAGTTCGAAGTATATTTTAATAAACGTAGACTACTTTACTAAGTTTAGTATTTTTATACTATATAAAGAGGTATTTATAAAAGTAGTATATTAAGTATAGTTATTAATAATCTCTTTTATACTTAAATAGCCTAAAGCTATTTATTATAATAATAATTATTATTTTAAGAATATATTATTTACTATAATTATTAATTATTACGATACTAAGCTTATTTATAATCCCGCTTTTTATTTATAGTTTACTAATTAAGTAGAGCGTATAATAAGACTAATAAAGCTATAACTAATAAAATAAGTATAATTATAACTAAAAGAACTAAGGATACGATAGTATTATAAAGTACTTATAATTATAAAGTAACTTAACTTATAATATATTTAATTAATATTTACTATACTATTCTTAGCTACGTTTAAAAAGAATATTTTATAAAATATAATAGTTATAAATAGTTTTAATAACTTAACTAAAGTACTTAAAAATATTACCGAACCTATTATTATTTTTAATAAGGAAAATATTAATATAGACCTTATTATAGTAAGTTAGAGTATTATTATTAATATTAATATAAAAAAAGACTTATATAATAATATAAGAAATAAATCGATATATATAATTAAGATAGTAAATATAAAAGCTATATTTATTAAAAAGTTTATTATAAATAATCTTATTTAAGAAAAAAGTAATAAGGATAATAAGTTAAACTTTAAATTTAACCCGTTATAAACTAGTTCTTATTAAATTATTAAAATCGTATTAAACGTATTATATTAAGTTAGAAATATTACTAAGAATTATAAAAAAAAAAAAAAGGTATATATATCGGATTTTAAAATATATATTATTAAACCCCCCTAACTCTAAATTAAAAAGCTTATTATTAATATATATATTATTATAAATATTAACGACTATTATAATATATAATTAAAAAATATATTATTTATATTAATAATAAAGTTAAAAAGATAAGTAAAAATAATACTTAATAATTAATAAATATAATAATAAAGAATAGTATTAATAAAGGCGTTTATATTAGTTAAGAGCGGCCTAGGTTAGGCTATTATATACTTAGTTAGGCTAAGAAGCTAGTATTACTACTTATACTTATACTATGTATTATTATATAATTACTAGAGCTATATTAGTACCGTACTAGAGCACACTTTATACTTAAAGAAAATAAGCATGATTACCACTACTTTTCAGGGCTAGGTGCTTATGATGGATAGTGGTGGAGGGTTCGGATTGGATACGGGTTGATTGGATGGTCAGGCTTTCTTTAGCGCTCTTGGGGCTTGGCATAGGGAGAAAAGAGAAGAGTGACATTGGCACGCTCACCATGTTTGATTGCAATTGAACGGTAGAGTAGAGCAGCTCCTCGCCTGGGGCAAGCAGTCAGATTAAATAGGGCTTCGTGGAGGTCGCCGTGAAGACAGACTTCCAAAGAAAAGAAAAAAAGTACAAAGACCGACGATGTGACAGGCGGCTGGCTGAGGTTTTGGACCCGCTAGTAGGGTCGATCATTGGGGTGGCTCGGTGCAGAACAACATTGAATGTGACTGCAGACAAGACACCTCCCCTACTCGACAAGGTTCGTGATGGAGTAGTGCGAACAGAAGCCCGCAGGATCAGGGTCAACCAACAGCGGCATACGCATTGCTCCAAGAATTAGAGGATCACCAGCAGTCACGGAGTATCCGTACGGAGTACTGATCCCAGAATTCAGGGCATAGGTAGCCCACAATTCCCAGGATTAGGGGGTTGTCAGCAGAAACCAGCGGACTGATCCTGGGATGGGGTTCAATGAGATTGCTAGACGTAGCCGGCATTCCTCTGTCGCTTTGTACTTTTGTCAAGGCCCTTTGAGCTATGCTGCCCCAGCTGAAGGAAATGAGACATGTCTGGTGCTTTCCCGAGGTTCATTGATGCGGCCGAGAAGTAGCTCTAGAGAGAAATCTCGAGACGTTTGATTTGATCCGAAGGTAAAGTTCTCTCAATTCAAACTCCGCGCTGCATCTGTCCGCTGTCCAACGGCCGGTCTTTGCGAAAGGCCGTCTTGGCCCTGCAATCGATCATATGTCGTGCTTCACGTCGTTTACTTCGTGACCGCTGCTCGAATTTGGTAGAGGTCTGTTGGGCGGAAATTGACACGCGGCAGTGTTAATAAGCTGTCCCTCGCCACGTCCACCTTCTCTATAGGTACCATAGTCTTGGGAGACGTCGTTCCGCTTGCGTCGAATTGCACCGGAGCGCGAAGATGTCTCGTGGCGCCGCGGCCGCATTCATCGTGGTGTTCCCTTCTTGCTCACCGGCCGCACCTAACGGCCAAGGCCATCCGTCCGACGCCTCGCTGCCAAGCGGTAAGCCATGCGTGCCATGAGAAATGATCTTTCCACCGGCTGAAAGACTCCGTTGAAGTGTTGATCGCGATGCAAGCCTTCCGGGAAATCGGTCCCCGTCCCCGCGGTCGATGCCAATTGATATGAGCCCTGTGGCCACATGTACATCGTTAAAGACCTCCTTCCTCCCTAGGCAATCAGCCGGTCAGCGTGCCCTTCAAGTCTTCAATCCGCGACGACTTTGCTGTTTGCCGCGTGGTCCTTGGCGGCACTGGGCAGCATTGGATGCAGGGCGAGCCAAGGGGCTTCTGGTTTCCTCCAGTCTCCTTCTCAGACTCCATCTGATTCCTCTCCTCTCCGGAAGTCCGCCGTCAAACGGGAATCCCGCCGCTCGATCGAGAACGCGGTCGACATTCCTCCGAGCACACAGCTACTAGAGCTTGCTTCCCGTCTGCAGGTGTAGATTGCCCCGAACGATGAAGAGGGGGGAGAGAAAGCCTGCAAGTCTTTTAATGCAACAGCCTGGCTAAAAAGACGTGCATGGTCGCATTCTCCGAGAGGGACACAGGCTTACGAATCGTCCACATATTTGTCGTGTGGCCTATCGAAGGAAACCGCCAAGGAATTAATCGAATTCCTCCAGAATTTCCCTGGAATTCGAGAATTTAGCCAATGTCCCATGCGGTCGGTATAAGATCTCCCCTGGGTTCAGGCACGAAAGGGAGAAAAAAGGGGAAGATCAGGAACCGGGAAAGATTGTTTTCTACCAGTCCCAAGTCGCGTGCGGTGTCTCTCTTCTTTTAGGAACAAGCACCAGCACCGAAAGCAGGTTTTCTCGATGAGCTAAAGGCTGTTTCCTCCTAGGCTGTTGGTTGCTTCTCGTTCGGCCGTCATCGGTTTGATCGTGGCAAGGCGAAAAGAAGAAAAAGACGTTTACGAGAGGAACCGTGGAGAATCAAGGAGAATACGAGGGCAGAAGAGGAGGAAACTTGCACCCGATGCAGCACCTGCCTTGGCTGTCTCCGGTTCCCCAATAGCGATCCAGCTGGGCGCCTCGCAGCGGCATCTACGGCAAGCACAGCCCCCGGGGGTCCCCACGTCAGCGAACTGGGCCACCCCGCCGCACCCGGACGGGCCCTAAGCTACAAAAATGGCCCGAGGACGACCCCTCCCCCGCGCCGTCCCGCCGTCAGCCTCAACATTGACATCAACACACACCTCAACTTTGACCTCGACCTTGACCTCATCGTCGAGCTCACCGAGACGACTGTCCTTTCTGATCTTCAACCTGCTCGCCCTCACAGCATTCGTCCAACCCGTCATGTCTCAAGGCTGGGTCAACGCCGTCTACTACCCCAATTGGCGGGTTTACAAGGGCCAAACTCCCGCCTCGATGCCCGTCAATGCCGTCACTCACGTCATGTACGCCTTTATCAAAGTCAACACGGACGGATCACTGAAGCTCATTGACGACTGGGCCGATACCCAGATCCCAGTCGACGGGACAAAGGGCTGTCTCTCGGCCACAGCCAAGCTCAAGGCCTCGAAGCCGAGCATCCGCACCCTTGTGTCCGTCGGCGGTGGCACGGGCAGCGCCGAGTTCCCGGCCCTGGCCGCCAATCCTACCGCGCGCGCTCGTTTTGCCAAGGAAATCAAGGCCTTTTGCGACAAGTGGCAGCTCAACGGCGTTGATAGTAAGTTTTCCTATCCTCGTATTCTCACTAGGTTCTGGCTCTGACACTTGTCCAAGTTGACTGGGAACACCCAAGCGACGCCAAGCAGGGCAAAGACTACATCAGCCTCCTCAGTGACGTCCGCCAACAGATGCCAGCGGGCAAGTACCTCATCACATCAGCCCTCCCGCCGGGCCAATGGGTGCTCAAGAATATCGACCTTAGACGAGCCGCCTCTCTCCTTGACTACCTGAACTTAATGTGCTACGACCTCACAGGACCCTGGACCGACGTCTCGGGCAACCACGCGCAGCTCCTGGCCTCCAAGACGCTGGTGAGCAACAACCCGAACCTCAAGATCGCCTGCGCCGACGGCATCACCTACGTCACGAGCAACGGGTTCCCGAGCCGTAAAGTGCTGCTCGGGATCCCGGCGTACGCGCGCACCTTTCCTAATGCGAAAGGGCCGGGCGGATCGACAAAGGGGTCTGCTGAGGTTGATTACTGCGACATGTCGAATGATAGTGTAGATAAGGCAACTGTGGATACGACTGCGGCCGCTGCCACTTATATTGATCCCAAGTATGGGTTCATGACCTTTGATGTGCCGAGATCTGTGGCCATCAAGGCCCAGTATGCGAAGAGCAAGGCTCTTGGTGGGTTATTCTACTGGACTGGCGTAGGAGACCGGAAGGGGAGGCAAAGTCTGGTCCAGGCTGGGTTTAATGAACTGAACGGCATCAAATGAGCCTAGTTCATGTGGTAGTAAGTTTGAAAAACTCTCGGTGTACTTTTGCATGGAATCAAGTACATATCCTGGCTGTGAATGCGGCATGCAAAGACAGTTGGGTTGAAAAGGCATACCTACGAAACACAGGTAGCCGTAGATATGATAATGAACACAAAATATCAAAGGCGTTGGATGCTATCCAAAGTTCTTGACTATCTAACTTCTTCGCAGGGGATTGTCAGACGGGGCCTCAAGATAATTCGAAACCTTGAGGGATCGGCCTGTGGTCCTCTAGGTCGCACTGGAATCTGCCGTGAGACATGAGCGTAGTGCGACGGGTTATCAGAATGATTCACGTGGAGAAGGCAGAAGCGCTCGTGGGACAATAGAAAACAGGAATTGAGCATGAATTTAAGCTTGAAATAGTACTTACTGTGGCGGGTACGTCCCCCGATGGAATTCTCCGGCAAGCGCCGACGAGTGCCCCACCCGGTCGATACTAGAGGTGCCGTGAAGCCCCACCCGGCAGCCGGCAGCCCTCCCATCCAATCGCCGGCTCATTGTGCAGGGGCCAGCAAGCGCGGACCTCTTCTTATTTCTCCTGCGTCCCTGTCACTCTCCGTCTTTCTCCCCCTGGCACACACAAATTCACACCTCAACAGCTCCTTTTTCGTCTCATCTTCCCGCCACGATCCCCGCGCCATCCCTTCAGGATCTGCCGCCTTGCTACACGAGCCGTTTCACGCGCCGGGCCATCCCAACCAACCGGAGGCTCAATTTTCTTTAGCTACATTTGAACCTTGTGCAGCTACTCTGCCATGTGGTGCATACCACAGAAACTCTCAAGTCTCAATCTCCACCGAGTTATCCGTTGAACGAGTGTTCGGACGGTACTCTGTCAGCTTGTCACCAGAAAGACGGGAATGATGCGCAGCAGGGAGGGGGCCTTAGCCGAGGAAGGTTTCCCATATCTCCCCGGGCCCAGGCCGCCAAACGAAACCTCGCTGCAAGAGAGGAATCTCGTGAAACCATGTTCAGACCCTAGCGCTCGCGCTTCTTGGGGGACAGCAAGAAGGGACAAGATTGCATGGGACCGACGGAGGCTTTTGGCGTCAATGGGATGGCGCTTGGATGCTCAGTGACGGGTGATGGATGACGGATGACAGGCGACAGATGGGCTGGTCTTCGTCAAGGGCCGAGTATAAGGGTCCATCTGCCGTCCTGTTCTCTGACATGAAGCATTCACCTTCGATACTGCTGCAACGACTTTGGTGATATCGTAGTTTCTTTACGTGTCTTTCCTCTTTCCGTCTTCCTTCGTTTCATTGACAACACACCCTGCTGTGCAGGCTTTCATTCTTTTCCCATACGCTCATTTACTACAGGTTTATCTCTTTTCACTTATCATCATGATTTCTCAAACCGCAACTTTTCTGGCTTACGCCACACTTCTCGTGTCCGCCAGCCCTCTCGCTCTCCAGCGCAGAGCTGTCACGGAGCTCAACGAGGAGGCCACAAAGGAGGCACACCCCCGCGACGACACCGCCACGCGCGCTTTTTCCGACGTCCAGATCAAGACAGCTGACGGCAAGTGTCTCTTCGTCGACAAGTTATCTGGAGATTTCCGGGCGAACCTCACCCCGATCCAGGTAGCTGATTGCGGAGCGACGGACGGCCAGGGTTGGGATGTCATCACTGCTGGAAAGCACAATAATCAGCTCAACTCAATGCTCATCGTCAGCACTCTGGTACGTTCACTCCCTGTAACCCCTTCATGTGGGTTCCCAAAGCGGAAGACGATACTGATTCATGATTATAGACGCAAGCGTGCTTCAACTTTGATCCCCGTCGCGCGGCGGGTAACCAGGTCAACCTCTTCTCCTGCGGTGGACGCGCAGCAGGCGAGGGCCTGGTGACGGACTCTCAGCTCTTCGCCGTAGACAGCGGAGCGGGGCCCTCGACCTTCCAGCCCAAGAATGAGAAGGGCAAGTGTTTTGCGGTCAAGGGCAAGGTGGTGGACATTGCAGACTGCAACGCCGACGACAAGGCCCAGTCTTTTGCCTTTGGCGGCAAGCCTGGGTTCGTCGGCGGAGGAGCCGGCGCAGGAGGTAACGGAACTGGCAATGGGGCGGATAACGGTGCTCAGCAGCCTGCGCCGACCACGACAGCAGCGGCCGTTGTGACGGGGAAGCCTTCCGCCGGATGCGATGACACCGATGAGACCGTCACCATGACGCTAACGACCACGATCAAGCCCGGCCAGGGCAATGCCCCCATCGCGACCGCCAAACCCGAGGCAACGTCCGCTCCGGCGGTAGCACAACCCGTCGCCTCCTCAGCCCCAGCCGCCGGAAACGGCCAGAAGGGGAACATCCCCGCCGCGAATCCCACCTCGCCCGTCCCCGTCTCCCGCGCCGGCGGCACCCTGAACCCGACCGCCGCAGCCGAAGCCAACGCCTTCGACGACACGGCCACCCGCGCTTTCACAAAGGTGGCCATCCAGGCGCCCAACGGGCAGTGTCTCTCCATTGACCCTACCGCCGGCGACTTCCGTCAGAACCTCATCCCCGTCGCCGTGGCGGCGTGCGACAAGGCCTCGCCCAACCAGCAGTTTGACGTGATTTCCAAGGGGAAGCACAACGACGGTAAGGATGGGGCGATGCTGATTGTCAGCAGCCTGACCAATGGGTGCGTCAGCACTGACGGGCGGCGGGCGGACGGCGACACGGTCACGCTCTTCTCGTGTGGAGGTCGTGCTGCGGGCGAGGGGCTTACGAATACCGGGCAGCTGGTCAAGGTCTTTGGGGACAGCTTCTTGTGGTCGCCTGTGAATGATGCGGCTACGTGCGTTGTCCCTGGGAGTCAGGGACGTTTGGTCACGGCTGCTTGTAAGGGGGACAATAGCGAGACGTACAAGATTGTTGCTTAGAGGACACGGCATG